AATGACGTAACTAATGGAAATAAACTGGTGTTATTCACATGACCTCTTACTGTCTAATTAATGAAATGTATTCTTCTTTTTATTAATGGGTGAGTTGCTTAGAAGGTATTGTAAAGGCTTACTTGACCGGGGTATCTCGGTTGAGCGCCGGTCGCGCTCTCCGAGGTCGGGGCGTGACAGGATTCTTACTTGAAGGCCAATATCATCCCGAAAGGTTGCCATATGCTAGGGGAAAAGAATTTAGAAATGAACTTTGCCGCCAACTCATCTCATGTATGAATAGAATGATTGGGCAAGCATTCCAACCAATCAAAAGCCTTCCCCCGTAGTTAGAAGGGAAATAGTCTTAACCTCAATGCATCTTCCGAAATATTTATTTGTTTGCTACCCAACACGTATCCACAAAATCTTTCAAATGTTTATAAGCATTTTGATGCGGAGCTCCGGTGAAATAGCCTTGTTGCTCGAGCAAAGTGAGTAGCACATTGGTGATTTGGAAGTTGCGTACCCTAATGCGGGGAAGACTATAGACCTAGAATATCCTTCATTTGGTAAATTCTGGTGTTGCGCCTCTTGGGCTTGTGGTGGTGGTAGAGGTGGGGGAGGTGGAGCACATTGTCATGTTGTGCACGTCCTTGGCGGTTTGCTTATAGTGCCGGAGGCATTTTATCAAGTTGCTTATCCTCGCTATTCACCTCTCCCAATTATAATTTATCAAGCTCGATGTTCACCATTGGTAACCTACAATCACACAAACGATTAAGTAACACGAAAGTAAAAGAAGATACTCAAGAAACACAATCAAGTATATAGCTAACACCGTAAATTCCTCAGCAATGGCGCTAAAGTTGATAATGCCTAACACACACCCTAAGATAGGATATGTAACAGTCATTTGTAAAATATTATATCCAATTAGAGTAGGGGTCGAACCATAAGGAGTTTGAATGGGTGCTAAGGTAAATACTTAAGTAAGCAAGTTAATATATCTTAAATTAAGTTCCAATAAAACTTGGTTTAGTAACACTATTAATTATAGTAAATCTAAGAGACAATTTATCAAACACTAAATATACGAGAGTTTAACAAAGTTGCAATTAATAGAGAAAGACCTAGAGTTGTAGTCCTAACCTAGGTGTAAACCTGATGGGTGAAATCTAATATGCTTGCTTGATTGATTAGGGTTGTTATGACTCTCAAATCTAAAGTGCTCACTCAATATCTCTCGATTAAAGAGTGATTATGCCGTAAGTATTCCCGTCTGTCACGTGGGTGACCCGGATTCGATCCCCGAAAACGGCGCCAAAATTAATAATGCCCAAGGCACACCCCAAGATGGGATATGTAATAGTAGTTTGCAATATAATATACCAAACTAGAGTCGGGATCGAACCACAAGGAGTTTGAATGGGTGATATGGTAAATACTTAAGTAGGCAAATTAATATATCTTAGATTAACTTTCAACAAAACTTGATTTAGTAACACTATTAATTATACTAAGAATTATCTAAGAGACTATTTATCAAACACTTAATATGTAAGATTTTAACAAAGTTACAACAAATAAAGAAAGGCCTAGAGTTGTAGTCCTAAACTAGGTGTAAACCTAATGGGTGAAATCTAATATGATTGCTTGATTGATTAGGGTTGTTATGACTCTCAAATCTAAAGTGTTCACTCAATATCTCTTGATTAAAGAGTGATTATATCCAAATTAGTTTTCTCAAGTCTAAATGGGTAGCTATAAGAATAATTGATTATGAGCCCAAGTTGAATTATCGCTATCTCTAGTCCAAATCCATTAATTGAACCAATCAATCCCTCAACTAGTCCAATTTCTTGTTAGCCAAGTTTTCCTAAACTTAGTTCCTCTTGCAACAACTAATTCAAATTTAAAGCATGAAAATGGCTAAATAAAACTTAACCCAGTCAAAAACAAGTATAATATTAACAACCCATAAGATTCACACACTAGAGTTGGATTATAACCATAGATAAAAATCTAGCTACTCATGATAAGAGACATAAAATCATAAATACAAGATGAAATTAAAGACATAATACTAAAATAAAAGAAAGATCAGATGAGTCCAATTGTAGCTCAAACTTGCTCCAAATAGCTAAAATTAACTAACCCACAGCTACTATAGTGAGAAGATACCCTAAAAGAGCTAAAGAATTCTATTTATAGGACTCCCAAAATTTCTGCCAATAATGCCCTTCAGAGGACTTTGCGACTGCAAGAAGAGATTTGTTGCTCGCACTTTGCTGGATTTGAATTGCCATTTGCTGATAACGAGTGGGACTTTTCGGTCGCCCTTCAGGCGTTGTGGCCACACATAAGGTTTTGCAGCAGCATTATTCCTTTTGTGGTCGCACATGGAGAGAAAACAAAATTGGTTGTCTGCTCATTCTTTGATCTTTTATTTCAGCAGTACGGACTGCTTTGCGAATCAAAGTGCGGTTGCGCACTTTCAAGTGCGGACCGCACTTCTGCTTGAGGTTCTGAGGCTTCAGTTTCTCATTTTTCTATCGCGCTTCTTTTTTTGTGGATCACACTTTTAATTTTGTGGCCACACTTCTTCTTTTGCGGGTCGCACTTTTCGTTGCCCTTCTCCTCTTCAACTGAATTGCCTATGATTATTTCATTTTGTGTCATTTTTCCTTCAAGACCTTAAATCCTTCCTAGCAAGCCTGAAATTCAATAATTATTATTAGAATCGGGAATTAAATATGTACTTTCGGACTAAAGACTATAGTAAAAAGATACTAATAAGTGGTTAAATTCTTCATTTATCAAACATAAGCCTAAAAAAAGGGTAATGTGCTTATGCTTATTGTTTCACATTTCAGGAAATGATTGGTTTCCGGACTGATTTAATTCTCATGTTGATATGATAATGAACTTGTCATACCATCCTCTCTCATGGTCATCTTCAGTATCCACCAATGCCCGTCTTCCTCGATTAAAATATAAGAAAATCGCACTCCAGAAAAGCTTCGGAGAAGATGTTGTAGGATAAAGTCAACCTTAGCCAAATTCATCAAGAATCGAAGACAGGCCACCAATATCCAAACACCATGGCTAACTTGAGCTATACCAATGTTGAAGTGCCGACAAAAATCTATGATCACTGAGTCGATCAGAAGATTAAAACCAAGGGTGAAGGGGTCAATATATATATGAAGGAAAAACTAGTTCATTAACTGATAATCAATCCCGTTCCAAAGCTACTTGAATATCGATATGATCACCCCAACGATATTCCTCTCGAACGAGAAGAATATGCTCTGGTTGAATCATAAAAAAAGGTTATCTACATGAAAATTCATATTTCCCGATTGCCCTTGTGTTTTTATCCACGAGATCCTGTCCGCATAGAAATCCAACTTCCTGGGTAGGATATCTTGAATGGTTTGTTCAACATCATGCTTGGTCCTTTCTCCTTTAGAAGATTTTTGGGGATTTCCCCCACTTTTGGTTCTTGAGAAGATTCCTTCTGCCAGAGATTCACCAGAAACATGGCTTAATGAAGCTATGGTTTCATTAACTGCTAAGTTAAGATTTTGAGAATTCATAACCTTTGGAAAAATTTTAAGAACAAAGGAAGAACTCAAAGGGAGTTGCAAAAGATGTAAGAAATTAGGTTGAAAAGGTTAAAAGTAAAAAAAAGAAAAAGAAAAGAGAAAGCCTTCATATATAGGCAAGTGACTGGCCCTTCGAACTAGACAATATAGAGCATCGATCCAGAACAAATTGATCTAGGATATAGTTATCATTATCTTGAAATTACTGCCAATAGTAACACCAATCGAGGCCGCCCACGTGACTTGAACCTTAAATAAAGGCAGCGTAAATTACTTCAATTACAACTCATATTACTTCAATTTCGAGATATGGGGATCAAAAAAGATTTTACTCCTACTAATTAAGAATACCAATAACCGTTTTCTTCCCACCAAGAATCTTTCACTATCCGGAAATTTCCCGAAAAATATATGAAAAGTGAAAAGACTATTTGCATTGATAAAACACGAACATAACACGTGTACCATTAAAAAAACAGATATGCAGCCATAAATGTCCAGTCGGCTTGCAAAACAACCAAAATGCAAACGAGAAGTTAGAAAATCGGATATAGGCAGAAGACTCCTCGGAAGGTTAACTCGAGTACTCGGAAAGGCGCCGAAGTATCCAGAATTCAATATTTACCTTATGGTTACAAATTCTAACATTAAATTAACCGTTACAAACCATTTAAAAGGCTCAAACAAATGAGAGTAACGACAACATGATTTAAGGAAGCGAGAACTGAGATTCACCATTATAAAAGCTTACATTTGTAACATTTCAGAGGACAATCTAAAATCTCTACATCAATATCTACATAAGAAATTTTATCTTTTTATCTTTAGCAGTCTCACAACTTCTCTTTAACCAAGCTCCAAGCACTCAAGTTCCAAGTGATCATGGAATAATATCTTTTCTCTTTTCTTGTGTTACAATTCATTGTCTTATTTCATATTCTATCTTCACCGTCTAGATACTATTTAGATTGAATCTGTTAGTTTTAGACCTCAATAAAGAAAATTCCTTTGTTAGTAATTCGCCTTTCTATCTTAAAAAAGATAACGAAATTTCGAAGAAGCTCTTTGAAAAATATTTCCCGCACTTCTTTAGTTAATTTTCCTACTTTATTATGTCGATTCCTCTCTCCATATATTTTATGTTAGAAGGAAGGTTTTTATCCTATAGAGTTGCAAGATATATTAGTATCAATTTTTAAGAGAGAAAGCCTTTTTTCGGACTGTCTTGTTGTTAGGACTCCACTGTCGTCCCGGGTTCTCCATTCTCAGAAAGCTTCAACTTTCCGGCGTCATAATATAATATAAAAAGGTACATGAGAGAAAGCTAGCCATTCTAGAACAATCATTTGGTTTGGTTCATTCTTTGACTACTCTGCTCCCCCCTCCCCTCCCCTCCCAAAAAAAAAAAAGAAGAGAGACTTCATTTCTTCCACCTTCCTTGGTTAGGGTTCCAAACCTTTTTCTAATAATAAGGTAAGCTTTCAAGCCGCCGGTGATATCTATAAGAAGGAATACTTGTCTCAAGGTAAACAGGAGTTCCCATTTTTGGTATTCCTTCTCGAGCTTCTATTTCTTCCGTTAAAGGAGATTCGAGAAAAGATGGAATAGGAATACGTGTTTCCAGAACGAACAAGATACGGGAGGAACGAATTAGTCCGCGACCAGCAAGTTTTCCGAAAGCGAACTGAATGGAATTGTTACTTTCAAAAAAATTTGCTTCAAATCAAAGAAAGAAGGTCTATTTTCCCACGTGAGTACACTGCTTTCACACTCGAACTCTCCTACTGTGTGCTATAATAGTTGTAGAAAGACCTCCCGTCCTGAGTTGGCTTAAGCCATGCCTTTACTAAAGATTAATAGCTTTGCCTTTCCTCATCCCATTTTTTTCTCTTTGATCCCACGCATGGTTGAATAATGAGGCGATCAAGAAAGTCCTCCCCTAGAAAAATTATTCGGAGATCTTCTCTAGTGATAGGAGACTATCTAGCTTGATTCGGAGAATCGTAACACTCGTAATGATCGACTTTATGAAGAGTCCATTGGATTCCGGAAGCTCGTAGCATTGGTCCGGCATAATTCCCAAACTTAAGAAGCTGGGGGCGTGCCCGCCATCCCCTCACCTGCCTCCGATTAATGAAAGTGAATTCATTTTCAATTATCCTAAGCTATCGCCTCTGGTGTTAGATCAGAAACGTGACCACATCTAGTTCCCAGGTTGGCCTAACGTAAGTTGATGACACGCTTATAAATTTAATTATTTTATTTTAATAATCCAATTTTGGGTTAAGCATCCTCGTCTTTGATCTCATCACCTACTTCAACGGTTATTTATGAAATTAAAACATTAAAATGGGGAATGAGTGTCACGTTATAACTCAGCGCTTCCTCCAACTTTAAATGGGATAGAGAAAGAGGGAGTATTTCCCAAACAGTTTCAACCGACATTTCAATTGCCCAAAATCGAAACAGTGAAGAGAACAGCCAGCAATGGCGGCAACAACTGACGAAGCTATGGAGTCATTGCTTTCGAGCTTCGACCAAATATATGACGTAAGTGCGTACACTCCTCTCTCTTATGGTTCTGTTTATGCTTCCAACTTTTTAATTTATTTTGCAGGAATTTAAGAACGGCGCTGTGGAGATTCAAACCTTGCAAGCGGACTACATCACGGGAAGCACGAAACGAGAAGCTCTTGAATTCACCGTACAACGCCTTCAATCTGGTCAATTTCTACATTTTTATTTTTCGAGAATTCTTAGTTTGACTATCCTCAATAATCTTCCATATGGTTTTCAAATTTTAGGATGCCTTTTTTTTTCAGGAGTATATTTGGGGTACTTATATGATATATCGCAACCGTAGAAACTGACATGTCTAACATATAAGTTGGACGTAAACTGGTCTCAACATCAGGACACTATGGAATGTGTTTTTACAACAACAACAACCCAGTATAATTTCACTAGTGGGGTCTGGGGAGGGTAGTGTGTACGCAGACCTTAACCATATTCTAGGGTAGAGAGGCTGTTTCCGATAGACCCTCGGCTCCCTCCCTCCAAGAACTTCCCATCTTGCTCTTGGGGTGACTCGAACTCACAACCTCTTGGTTGGAAGTGGAAGGTGCTTACCACCCACTATAGAATGTGTTTTTTATTTGCTGAAAATTGGCTTAATTTTGCCGGAAAAGCATCTAAAGGGCCGACTTCCGAAAATCATTAGTTAATGATGAGCAGATTGAGGATTTGAACTTAAAGGGTTTGAGTTCGGATCCTACCACACCCGGTTCAAAATCTTTTATTTGTACTTATTTAGTGGATTTTTAAAAAACATATACAAGGTCGAGCAAAAACTACAAATTCCGAATTAACCCATAAGGCCATAACTTAAATGCTAAATCCGCCCCTGGTGAATGTATACACGATTCTAGTGTTGGTTTTGTGGAAAAAAAAAACTTGTTTTGGATTTGTAGGGGATAGGGTTAATTTCTGGGGCAGGGCGAGTAAGGGTGGACATAAGTTGATATTTTTCTTCTTTTAAGGTTAGAATTTTACCATAGAAATCAATCACTCCACCCTTTTATGAATTTCTTTCTTGGGATGTGAAACTGGGAGATTTTGTAAGGACTAAACATAATTTCGCTGGATAGCCTTTGAAAATCTGTGAATCTGTGTTGAAACAAAGGTAACAAAGTAAAATTGAGGATCATTGCACCAAATAAAACCTGCACCTCGTGCTTGAGATTGAGGTGCCTTGCTCAGTGTTGTCAAAAGTGAAAAGCTCTAAAAAGCGCTCCAAGTCGACTGGAGCTTTAAGCGCAAAGCGCAATTAAAATGCGGGCGTTAGTAAAAAAAAGGCGCAACTAAGGAAACAAATAAAAAGACATGCAATTCAAAAAAGGAAACAAATTCTCTCCTAGTGTTTGCCTCAGCAACTAATACACTTATTTGCTATAATATTTGTTGTTTAGTACTGCTCAATTCAAGATAGAACTCATGGGCATTGAGGCGCACACCTTAGTGCCTTGCCTACACTGAAGTGCAACTTAAGCTAGGCGAAGTGCCCTCCTTGAGCTTTCCTGAGCTTCAGGGCTTAAGTGCACCTTAAATGAGCCTTTGCCAACACTGGCCTTGGTTATCAACTGCAGGAGTGAAATAAAGTACTAAATTTCTTAAAAGTTTTAAGTGGTTGACCAAAGAAAAAAAACATTGTTGTGTCCATGTTTTGATAGAGAAAGTGTGGTTTTAATTAGACACATTGGCGTCTTGTCTTTCATTGTTGAATTTTGGAGCTGGGATTAGTAAATAGAGATGGTTGCTGTAATTTCGGGACAACTTATTATTTGACTTGTTTAAGCAATTGTATATGCCTGTTTGATCTTCTTATATCACATTCTTTGAAGGTCTCAATGAAAGAAAAGCATGATCATTATCATGTCTAAGATTTCAAAGAACTAACTGAAAATCAAAGGCACATACATGATAAACATGTGTTGTTTCAGATATTCATTTATGCAGAGTGTTACATCTCAGATCCGTATATTCTGTAACACTTGTTTTAGTCAAATCTTGAGAATCCGTGAGGATCATTATAGGTTTAAGTAGATAATTATTTTCACTTTTCTTTCAAACCGCAAATTGACTAATGAGCTTCATTACAAAAAACAGAAGTCATGTTTAATATATGGATTAGGAGATGAGAGAATAAATTTCACATTCCTTCATTCAAGGAAGATCCCTTTGATGATTATCCTTTGTTTATGCAGTACATCATAATATTAGTTGATTTTTGTGAATGAACTGCTTCCAAGCTTCCATCGATAAGCATTTGCAGCCCCAATGTTACGAAAAATTTCTTCAAAAAAACGTTAATAATAGTCACGGTTAGAGGGATACTCCAATGTCTACAGGCTTGTGCTAACCTGATAGATATGAGCCTAAACTTTGACTTCAAGTTGTTATGTTTTTCCTGTGTAGGACTTTGTCCTCTTCATGTCAAATAAACCATGCTTATTCATGCAGAAAATGATCGGTTGAGAAAGCTTTACGCTGAATCACTCAACACATTGGCTTATAAGGTGCACTTTCACCAAACAAACACCATTTTTCCTGTTGTTTATCTGGATTAATGCATTTTTATGAGGTAGTTGAAGACAAGCCAAGTATTTCAGAGCTTTCTTAGTGGTTGCCGCTGAATCTTGTATGTTTTATTGCCGAAGTTCTTTGATTATCTTGAATTGTTATAATAAGTGACAGATTGAAAGCCATTCAAGTTGCCAGAGCTTGAAGGAGGATCTAAAGGGTGTACATCATGAGTTTTTACAGAAAGAAAATGTGAGTTCAGGCCAATTTTTAGGACACAAGAAGAGTATATCTTAATGAATGCACAAACATATCTTTTATGGGGCCTTCTTGCACATAAATTGTCTTCAATTCAAAGCTATCTAGGCAGATTGAAGGGAAACAAGGAAAAAATAGTGAAAAAAGAAAATAAGGAAAGTTGTTGCTCACACATTTGTTGGTGTCTGGGTAAGTCAAACTTAGTACTCCCTTCATTCAGTTTGATACGGCAGTGTTTGATTTGATATGAAGTTTAAGTTATTAATTTGATGAACATAATCGTTAAAGTATATGACTTCTTGAAAGTTGTGAATATTGTATAGAATAATGTCAAACATTTTGGATGTCTCAAAATGGAAAGAGTATTCACGATGGAGGGAGTACTATTTATTTTGTCCTATTTACTTATACAACTAAATGAACAAACACCTCCACAAATTTGAGTGGAGACAAAAACACTAGGTAATTTCTTCCTGTCTTACTAAGCTTTGGTGGATAGAGTTCCGGTACCTGTGCTGGTGGGACATAGCATGTACCCCGGTGGAATTATTCGAGGTGTGTACAAGCTGACCCGAACACCATTGTTATAAAAGAAAAAGAAGAACAAACATCTCCACTGGAGCATTGGAAGGGTAAAATGGTGAAATACATAGAAGCTTTATTAAAATCTAGGCATTTGTTGATTTTACACACCTCATATATGAAAGGTCAAAATCCCATGTTTTCCCATGATAATCCAATTTTATCAGACTTTACAGTTATACACAGCAATGATTATTGAAACATGTAAATAGGAGTACATAAGAACTATTGAATCACTTAAAGGGGATCATGCAGAGAGAATTCAAGAGTTGGAATCTCAAATCAGGTAACTTTGATATTATGAGATATGTATATAGGAAAATTATATTGCTTATTCAGCAGAATCTATGTTGTCTTTGATGATGTAAATCAGACGATACCAAACTGAGGATGCTGTTAACAAAGCGACCATAAACCAGCTTCGACATGATTTAGTTGTGCATAGGAGCCAAATAGAAGCTCTTAAAAGAAACTTGGATCAAGTGTCTGCTGAAGTAGACTCCAGATGTAAAGTTCCACCAATTGGTATATGCTTGTTGGTTGCATACTATTTTCTTCCACTGCTAAATGTTAGCTGTTATTTCATAGATCATTATGAGATTCAAGGTTTGAAGGACTCTCTCCTGGTTGAGCAAGAAGAGAAAAATGAGTTGAACAAGAGGCTCCGAGATATGGAAAAAGAATGTGAGTATTGTAACTTCTGATACATAGATGGTTTTTCTCATTATCTTTTTCTAGTCACTAAACTTCACACTATCTGAAAGTAAAAGGACGAGTTACTCTATAGTTGACAACAGCTAGAAATTAAGTGTTCCTTTCGCATATGCAGTGTTTATCAGCAGAACAAAACTGGTAGAGTACCAACAAGATTCGACTTCAAGTCAACATATGCATACACTAAAGCAAAAGATAATGAAATTGAGGAAGGAGAATGAGGTTCTCAAAAGGCAGATACATGAAAGAAAGGAGTTCTAGTTGAAGTATTCCCATTTGTGAGTTTTTGTTTTTGGTTTGATAGCAAGTCTCATATATCATGCATATTGACTGAACTGAGAACATTGCGTCACCAAGCTTATATCTGGTAAATCCTTGTAATTCCAAAAGTCTTGAACATTGTACGTCAATCCTGTTAGATATTAAAGTTCGTTTAATTTTAAGAAAGAAAAGATGCTATAGATGTCATGTTAGTCACTACTAAATGCTTAATTGTAGTGAGACTCGTGAAATGACTTACCACAAAATCTTACAGTATGTTACTAATGCTTTTTTGGAGAACAAAGAAGGATTTTCCCCAATAAAAGGCCAGCGAACATTTGTGGTCTTTTCCTCTGGAACATACAGTTGCTTTGCTGTTTCATTTCCACATTTCAAGCATTGTTTCCCATAACAGGTTATTTTTCATTGTACTGTTGAAAATTCGAATTTTATTTGAATGCTTAATGTGAGGCCCCGTAAATATTTTACCTATAACCCGGGATTTTGTGGTGCCAAAGTAGATTTTTTGGGTTGGACATTGCGTTGGGGAGTAAAGGAAAATTTTTGGCAGAAAAAGACATTTCTGCGGCCCACTATGCGGGCCGCAGAATGAAGCAAAAAACTGGGTAAAGTTTGGATGATATTGTGCGGTCACTATGCGATCGCAAAACCATTTCGCGGGCCGCACATCGACCGCGGAACCAACATGAAAATTTTTCGGAGGGAGGTTCTGCGGCGCATTATGCGACCGCAGAACAGGTCTGCGGACCGCATAATGGCTGCAGAGTGGGGCAGAGTTGCCCAGTTCCGGAGGACCATTTCGCGGACCGCAGAAGCATTATGTGTCGCATATGCGACCGCAGATGTGTGACGGGGCTCCTTTTTTTTTTCTAATTTTTTTACCCGACCCTATTTCAATATATTAGAGTAATGGACCACTTCTGAAGCAAAAACATATATTCCAGAGTGAGGGAGTGCCAAAGAGTGAGGGGGAGTTCCTAAGCTTATCATCCATCAATTCTTGTTCAAAGTTGAAGAAATTGTAAGAAGAATTCACTAGGTCTTCATCCTAGAGGTAAGTTTTTACTCCATAGCCCTCAATTTAGTGATTTTAACTGAAAATAGGTAATAAGCCAAGTAAATTCTGGGGTGTGAGAGTTGTTTATTTTACATGCATGCACCATCTAGGGTAGTGGGAAGATTGTTGAGCTCTTTTGGGTAAGCTTTGGGTAGTGGGATGATAGAATTTACCATAGGAGGACCTTGGAACTTTAATACACACCCAGTGTTTGATAAAATGCTCAAGTGAGCTAGAATTATGAACTCCTTCCTAATTTGTATTCAATTTTGCAATATCTCTAAATATATCGAAGTGGCTAGGATCTCTGGAACATTTTAGTAAATTAAAAGGGCTCGAGGCAAGGTATGTTGGCTAAACTTCTCTCTTAGA